TGGTCGTGCTTCCGGCGGCCGAGGAGAATGCCCGCATATGGACCAGCGACATGCCCCCGGGAGCCATGATGGTGGCCGGGCATGCTGTCGCATACACGTCCCCGTGGGTGACCAGGGGGGACGCCTGGCCCCGGGTGGCCGGTGTATGGCCCCCGGCCAGAGACCAGCCCCGCCGGGCCGCCGCAGCCGTCGCCAATGCCGGCGAGCCCCACGCACGCAGGGCTCGCACGGCCGTCCTTGAAGCCAACATATGATGAGAGGGGCCGAGGGAGAGAGAGAGAGAGAGAGGGAGAGAGAGAGGGAGGGAGGGAGGGAGGGGAAGGGGAGGTTGCCATACGCCAAAAGAGGCTCCCCGCGCATACGTTCCGCGCCGGGAAATTGATCCACATTGTCCCCCCTGCCAAGGCTTCGAGGAGGAGAAACACGCAAGGAGACCGTGTGTAACGTGGTGTCACGTGCCATCTCGGAACTGCCCACGCTCTCGGGAACGTTCCGGACGCCACTATTTAAGCATCCCTTGTGAACCACCAAACCCGTTTCTCGAAGCATCGTCAAACGGATTTCTGAATATACATTTACCTTCATCCTTGACTCAGCATTACGGGTTGATACTGGTTGAGAGAAGCTCTTGGTTCACCGTGTATCGCGCAGGGTAGACCAAACACGGATCTGAAACGGGCCCTGTCCGGAACCCCCGTGCCTGTACACGTGACCCATCTGAGGGCCGCACTTTGCCCACGCGGATGCCGGGGCATCAACTTGGCACAAATGGTCCGACTGTGTAGGCATCATGTAAAGGGCGAGGCACTTTCGGAGGAACCTCGATTCAATACAATTCGTTGTTCTCCTCAATCACGCCTTTTGCCGAACCCTTTCAGGATCGCAGAAAAGCCCGCCAACCAGCGGCCCGTTCGTTGGCCGTTGTATTCGAAGTATCAGATGATACAAATTGTCTTTTTGTCAACAGACATTTTTGTTAACGTCAGCGCATGATGTTGCAGCCGATCGAAACACGGCGATGTGATCCTTGAGTGGGATGACATTCCATTCTCGTGACATAACGTGTGATCCCCATTGCGGCCGACCCGCGTGGGAGCGTCCCAGCCTAGACACAAAAGGCTGCGGTCCTCACTCTCTCCACCGATGCGTCTGCATCGCTGCCCATCGAATGTTCTCCCTTGCATGCCCCTATATACAGGTCACCACTCACCCACGCGTTGCCCGATCCTACCCAGGGATCACATCGCTGCGTTTGATGGGATGTTACAAGCTCCGGCCCGGGTCTCTCTGTGGCAGAATATCCCCATGTAAACGACAAATCAAGCAACACGTGGAGGTTCTAGAGCAAGGTGTTATCGAAAGACAATGTTAACATCCTCAGTGGCATTCCTCTAGCGGGATTGCGGGGTAGGGACAGCCGTCAGGCGGCCCCCGAGATCGCGAGCGACGTCGGCGCTCGACCGAGGATGGAGATACACGAGCGGGCGTGCCGAACCGCGGGGTTCTCGGTTCCCAACCCCTGACCGAGAGCCCAAAGGTCAAAAGGGCGACGCCCCGCCGGAGCCTCCGGAGAGCGAAACCCTTAGCTCAGCAGTATGTCGAGGAGGGGTTTTTAAAAAATAGCATGGCCGAAACACCAGTCAAGCCGACGAACACCTGTTCTTAGGCTTCCTCTCGAACCCCTTTCACTATCCAAGTTCCTTCTCCTTTGCCTGCTACTAACTCGCCTTGAGCCGAGTTACTGACTCTCTCTGGAAACAGACGACCGTAAACCGCTGGTTGGTATGTCCCCTCTCTTATGCCAGGAGATTACAGACCAGGTGGCAGATCACACTGGTACCCTTCGCCAAGCCTCACTCACTTGACTTAGGCCTAACCCGTGTGGACCCTGCTCCAGAGGCGGGATTCTCCCATGCTGACCTGTCGCATGGGTTTTCCTCGGCAATCCCTCCCAGCGATCCACGAGCAGCCCCCCAATAGGCGTTTGTCCCCCGCCCCCGGTGCATGGCGAAAGAAAAGATGACCGAGAAATACCCTTGCGGGGGGTGATGTTCTCCCGCACAACCGGCGCCGCGCCCCGCCCTTGCCCACAATGCATTGGCCCGTTCCTGCCCGAGTGGGGGTGTCTGCTGCTCGGGGAGCTTCTCGACAGGGACGCCGGACCCCGCGCCGTTTGCTCTTAGCCTTGCATGCTTTTCTGCCCCGGCGCCGCCGCGCGTCGGCCCATGGTTCGGGCCTTCCCCCGGAGCCCTCGGGCCCTCCCCTGCGCCCTGGTTGCCCACGGCGTGGCCTCACCCCCATCGGGGAGCCGGTGCCGTACCTCCGGCCGCCGGAGCAGGTCCCGCCGTGCGCCGCCATGCCCTCTGCGTGCGCGCGCGCGCGCGCGTGCCCGACATGCGACCCAAAGGCCCCTGGCGTGTGCAACGGCCCTGCAAGGGCACCCGAAGGCCGCCGCAAGAGGTCCTGGCTTCTTGCCCTTCCTCTCGCGCCCCATCCCCCCCTCCTCGGGCGTGGTAGTGCCTCCATCCTCCATCATCCGCAGGCACCTGGCCTCTCTCTTTCTTCCGGCCAGTGGGGCGCCCTTGTCTTGGGATCCCCCGCCCCCGCCCCCTGAAGGAAGCACAAGAGGCCCGGGGCTGCGGATGTGGCGCCAGTCCCGGCGAAAACGGGACCCTCTGCCGGTGAAAGCATGCCTCGGGCGGTTGGGGCACAGCCCGGCCCACAGGCCCTCTCACCTTTTCACCCGCCTTTCGATGGCGCCAGGCGATATGGCCAGAGGCCTGGCATGACAGGACCGAGCCCGGCCTCGGTGGAACATGCGACGCTCGTACGGCCTCCGCACGTGCACACGGCCGCGCGCCGACACCCGCTCAAACACCCACCTGTACATTGACACACCGTTCCACACCCACCCACCCACCGGCACACATACACGCTCATGCTCGCACAGGGGCCGGCGCTAAATACACACCTCAATACACCCCCCCAATGCACACATCAATGGTCTATTCATAGGTTGCACAGCCATGTCACTCCAGGCCACCAGCAGCCACATACATGGCGGCGCAGCGCTGGCGGAACGTCTCGGCCGCAGGACGCCGCTCGGGGTCCGCCTGCCAGGCAGCCGCAATAAAATCCCCGACCCCGGTGTCGGAAGACCCGCCGGGCGGCCGATCGCCCGCCTGCACCGCATCCGCGATTTGCGCCAAAGTCATCCCCGCCCAGGGGACCCTTCGCTCGAGGCACTCATTCAGCATGACCGCCGCGGCATATATGTCCGCCGGGAAGAGCAGGTGCTGCCCGAGCGTCGTCCCCCGGCGCACGGCCGCCAGCAACTCCGGCGCCGCATACCGCGCACTCAGGGCATTCAGCCGCGGCACCGCCAGCAACAACGCCGAAGACCGATCGACATTGAGATTCCGGCTGGCGCCCAGGTCCCCGAGGGCCACCCGCCAAGACCCCCTCGTCCGGCTGACAAACACATTGCCCGGCTTCACGTCGCAATGGGCCACCCCGTGGGCATGCATGGCCTCCAGCCCGGAGGCCCACTGCCGGGCCATGTCCGCCAGGTCCAAAGAGCTGAGCTCCACCTCCGAGTGCAGAAGCAGGCCCATGTCCGTGTCAAAGCGCTCCATCACAATGGCCGCCGGCGCCTGGCTGTACCCGAACAGCCGCACGATGTTCCCCTGCTCCCGGAGCAGCCACATCAGGGACACCTCATTCTGGAACATGGCCACATGCAGGGGCTTCATGGGGCTGCTTTTCATGCGCTTGATGGCCACCGTCTCCGGGCAGCCCAGCCGGGCGGAGATCCCCGCACCGACGGCCCGCCCCGCATACACCCTGGCCTGGGCGCCGGATCCCATGGGGGCCCCCGTCTCCGGGGCAAAGTCCCCATCCACATCCACCACAATGGCCCCGGGCAGGGCCAGCTCCACGATGGTATTGAGCATGGTGGCATCCTCCTCAAGCGTGGCCGCCCGGGCCACTGCCAGCTTCTTGCCCCGCTGCCGGATGTACCAAAGTGCCAGGCCCAGCAGCAAGAGCACCACCACCAGCAGCCCTGCCGCCAGGCCCACCGCCAAGGCCACGCTCCGACCGGCCGACCGGCCCGGGGGACGGCATTCATGCTCCCCGGGCCCGGTGCACGCGTCGGAGCAGCTGGCATGGCAGGGCAGGCAGGCCGCCGGCCCGGCCTCGGCGCTGGCCACATACCCCCTCGGGCAGGCATCCACACAGGCGGCCCCGTGCAGCAGGAAAAGCCCACCCGCACATGCGCTGCACGATGCCATGGCCGGACACGCGAGCGAGCCATCAAGCTCGGCCGTGCACTCCGGCTGACCCGGGCCGGGCTCGCACGCTTCGCACCCGGCCGGGCAATTCAAACAAACCCCCTTGAAGGGCCCCGAGGCAGGGCCACAGCCCGGCGCACACATTCCCTCACTCGGCCGGAGAAGCCCCGACACACACCCGGTGCACCAGTCGGCCGTGCCGAGGCAGGTGCCGCACGCCTCGGCGCACTGCCGGCAGACCGCCCCGCCTTCCGGCAGGAACTGCCCCTCCGGGCAGGCCAGCCAGCAGGTTCCCTCCCCCAAAACATGGCCCGGCCGACACGCCGTGCACTGGACCCCGCATTCCGGCCCATGTGCCATGCACTCGGCACAGGGCTCCGGGCAGGCCACACACCGGCCCGAGTGGCCGCAGGCCGCCCAGCCTGCCGGGCAGACCGAAGCGCAGCCCCCATCCGGCTGAAGGACCATGCCGTCGAAGCAGCCGGCGCAGGCATCCGCCCCTTGGCACGAGGCACAGAAGGCCCCGCAGCCGAGGCACACATGGGCCTCGGCAAAGTGCCCCTCCGGGCAGCCGGCCCCACAGACACCCCCAGCAGGGCGCGATCTCCCGCGCACGAGGTACACTCGCTGGCCAGGGCCCATGAGGCACATGTGGCGCCGCAGGGCATGCAAGTGTTCCGATCGGCGAACGTCCCCTCCGGGCAGACCCCCACACACCGGCCATCCACCAGGAACGGGGTCGCGGCCTCGCAGGCGAGACACTGGTCCGCCCGCGGGCCGAAGCACCAGTCGCAGGCCGAATGGCACGCGACGCACTCGTGCCCCAGGGCCAGCCGGTCCGCCGGGCAGGTCTGCACGCACGCCGCCCCGGCCAGCAGCCATCCGCGCTCGCACTGGCCGCAGGTGGAGGCCGCGTCCGGGCAGCTGGCACACCGCAAGGGACACGGCGTGCATGCCGTGCTCGATGCATGGTACGCCGCCGGGCAGGCCGGCACGCAGCGCATCGACCCCGGCCCGGTCACCAGGGCCAGCAGGCCCGCCTGGCATGTGCTGCACTCGGTGCTCCGGACCCCGGAACACTCGCCACACGATGCATGGCATGGCAAGCACCGACCCGCCACGGCCACATGGTCCGAAGCGCACACTTGCACGCAGTCGCCATCCTGCAGCACGCCATCGGCACAACGCCAGCAATCCCCGTCACTGGGCCCATTGCACGCGGCACATGCCCGGTCGCAGGCAAGGCAGGCATCCGACCCGGGGTCTCGATACTGGCCGGCCGCACAGCCAGACACGCAGCTGCCCACCGGCGGCATGCCGGCATCCAGGAGCTCCAGGCCCGGAGGGCAACCGACACAGTCGGTGCTCTGGCCGCCGGCGCAGGCGGCACACGAAAGGTCGCACGGCTGGCAGGACTCCCCATTGGGCCAGGTCCCGGCCGGGCAGGTGCCTTCGCATGCCCCGTCCGGTGCAAGGAAGAGCCCGGCCTCGCAGGCCAGGCACTTGGTCGCCGTGCAAGAGGCACAGCCCGGCCCGCAGGGGACGCACGCGCCGGTGCCCCCGGGCGCCGGCCGACTCGCCCACCGGAACCCCTCGGCGCACACTTGGCACGAGGCCGCAGCCCCGAAGCACAGCTCGCAGCTGGCATGGCATTCGGCGCACCGGCCATCGGCCACATGCTCCCCCGGGCGGCAGGCGGAGCCACACAACGAGGGCACCCCCGGGTCGAGTCCCATGAACACCAGCCCCGGCTGGCAGGTGTCACAGCCATCGGCGCCGGTGCAACTGGCGCACGACTCGTCACATGCCTGGCATGTGAGCTGCCCAGTGCGAAAGTGCCCCGCCATGCATCGGGTACACTCGGTGCCCGAGGTGCAGCTGGCACAGTCCGCCGGGCAGGCCTGGCAGGCCTGCACATCGGGCCACGTACCCGCCGGGCATTCGGTGACGCAGCTTCGCCCGTGAAGCCACGCCCCCGACACGCATGTGACACAGTCCCCGGCATTGGCCGGGCCCCCGCACACCGCACACCGCGGATGGCAGCCATCGCACATGGGCCCATGCCCGCCGCCGGGGCAGGCCACCGTCAGGGCCAATGCCACCGGCCCGACGGCCGGGGCGAAGATCAAAAAGCTCACCTCCACCGGCGCCGGGTCGGCTTCCGTGCGCATGGACCCGGCCGCCACCGCCGGCACATGGACCGTGGCCGGGTTCCAGAAGAGCGTGCCTGGCGGCAGGCGCAACGCCGGCGGAAGATCCACAAACGTGGCCGGGAGCAGGGCACACGGCCCGGCCGAGCCGCTCGGACAGTGCAGCAGCGACAGCCCGATGAAGGTCCGCGACAGCAGCAGCAGCCCACTCGGGTATCGGCCATTCGCCCCGGGCAGGTCGATCGCCTGCAAAAGAACATTCCCATGCTCCGCGGTGGCCGGCTCCAAGGCCCGGGGGAAGGTCCCGAGCGCCCGCCGGACAAAGGGCAAGTCCACCGCTCGGCCGGCCGGCACCATGTCCCCCGGCACATGGAGCACCTCCCAGCGCGGGCCGAGGGTGTTCGAGAATACCAACTCCCCCGGCACCCAGGCATCCAAGTCCCGGGCCAGCATCACCGGCACCATGTCGGTGTCGCTGTCGGGCAGGCCCGACAAAAGACGCCCGGCCAAGGGCGGCCATTGGAAGCCCGATGCCTCGCCCATGGCAATCGGAAAGGCACTGGGCTTCGACCCGGCGCCGGATGCCACCATCCAGTGGTTGCCGGCCGCCAGCGGCGCCCGGTCCAAGGCCGGACCCGAACGGAGGCTCGCCACGCCGGCCGCCAAGTTGTGATGGTAAATGACGCCGCGGTAGCTCGGGTCCGGCCGGTAGAGCAACACCCCCCGGGGGCCCTTGCTGATGGCAAGCAAATCCTCATCAAAGCGCCACACCATGTTGGAGCTTTCGGTGGACACTGGGGTCAGGCTGGCATTCGCCCCGGCCGGACAGGGGCCCGTGCCCGAGCAGGACAGCTCCAGCCTCGAGGCCTGCCCCCCTTGGAGGGCCGCCACCAGGACATACACCAGCTGGCCGTCCCGCCGGAAGGGGCCCATTTCGGCAAAGCCCAGGACCGGCGCGCTGAAAGCCCCGCCCAGGAGGGGGACCTGCCGCGCCGGAGACTGGCCCCTCCCGGTGAGGGCGTCCATTGTTTGGATATATGCCCGGGGGTGTTCCGTAAAAATAAGCACCCCGGTGGCCGGGCCCGAAGTGCTGGCCGGTAGGATGACCTGTTCCGAGTGCGGGTCCGCCGAAAGCCACGTCCTTCCGACGGCCGTTATCCGGTCCCCCGGGGCCAATTCCACACCGAGATCCCGCGTCACGGGGGTGCTGATGCCCGCCAGTGGCAGGGGCCGGCTACTGGGCAAACACATCCCGCCCACATGCCGATACCCGGAGGAGCAGCCCTCCACGCAGGTGAACACGCCACCCGGGCCGCTGGGCTCCAGCAGGTACGGCTCGGCGCACACAAAGCAGTGTGTCGGGCCGCATGTCCGGCACCGGGCCTCGGCACAGGGCCGACATGCATGATCCGGGTGGGCGAAGGGCGAGCCAGCTATATTTTTTTTGCCCGCCATATTCACAGGATGCATGTCAGCCATCGAGCCGGGCGCCACGCGGCCAAGTGGCCCCCACTCACCGGCAGCCCGAGCGTGACACGCCGGAAGAGAGGGGGACAGTAAAAAAAAAAAAAAAAGCAGCCCGCCCATGCAAACACGCACCGGTCGGCCGGTCCAAGTACCACCCATCGGGGCACCCGGCGCAGAGCCTCTCCAGCGACACAAGCGGCGACTCGACGCGTTCCGAGGCACACCTCCAGCCAAGGTCCGAGCCAGTGCGCGAGCCGTCCCGATCGCACACGATGCTCGGGTCCTCGGAGCACCGGAAGAAGGCCGGATCGAACAGCAGCCGGTGGTTCGAATCCACCAGATGCCACCTGTCCAAGGGGGCCTCCACATTCGACAGGACCAGCTGCAGTGTCGACGGGCTGCCGGCGGCCGGTGGCAAAATCGCCCGCTGCCAAGTCAGCGCTTGGCCGGCGATGGAAATGTACCACACCCGGTCCTCCAAGGTGCTTGCTGCCGGATTCAGCAGATACATCGGCGAGTGGTAGTCCCGGCTGGCGGACGCCGGGGCCACCAGCAGCCGAGCCCCGTGCGCCGATACCCCGGCCGGCAGCTGGCCGCCGGAAAGCACCACCCCGCTCGGGTCTCCCAGGCGAAGGTAGACCCTCACTTCCCCGTCTTCCAGCAGCATGGCCACATCCGCCGCATCGCCTTCGACACCCGAGGACCCCGAAAGGCGCGTGGCTTCCAGCTGTAGTACCCTGCCGCTGCTGGGAATGGTCAGACATTGGACATTGTCGTCCGGCCCGATGGTCACCCGCCTGAGGCCCCCATCGTCCACCAGGTAGAAGCTCCTGCCAAAGCCGCTGGTGACCAGGACCTGGCCGGTGGCCGGCCGGAGAGTGTGAGGCCGTTGGACCAGATCGCTGCTCGTCAGTCGGGCCAGGAAAATCCCCCGCTCGGAGCCCGGCTCGCCGGTCAGCCCAAGGAGCTCCACCCCCCCGGGCGGCGAGTCCACCGCCGCCAGTAGCTCCGCCTGCGGCTCGGGAAGCCCATGCCGAGAGAGGGCCTGGAAGAGGCCCACCTTGTTGGCATTCTGCTCCACCAGGGTCGGGAGACTGGTCGGGTGGAGTGCCAGCAGGATGGTCGTCGACAGGGGGGTGTCCGGCCAGGGGGAATTCCGGGCCTGGTAATTCTCCCGGAAGAACGGCCCCCAGCGACTCTCGAGCGCCTGGCCCGGAGGCCAGACACTGGAGTGGGTCCGGAATTGGGACCCACTCTCACGGTAGAGAACCGCCGAGTTGTCCGAGCCGACCGGCACAAAGGACACCGCCCTGTCGAGGGCCATGCTCGGCCGCGAGGCCGCAAGCAGGTGGATGTCCTGACCGAGCGACCGGCCCAGCAGCCCAAGCACCAGGGCCAACGCGGCCCAGGACCATGCCCAGCGGCGCATCACACTGTTGGCCATGGTCGAGGCCGCCAGGTCACGCAAGGGCATGAAAGGGGGAAGGGGGGGCGG